ACCATGAGAAATGGTGGCCGGCTGCAAACCTTCTCATTTTGTATACCTAATTTATGCCATCTTAATGAGGCCTCCTATGATTTTGTTGATTATGCCATGCTTGCCCTTCATGTATGTCCATGAGTGAAGTTAATTCATGAAAAGGAAGTGGATCTAGTCGCAGCTGTTTCCTCACATAAGTAAAACAAGCGTTTGTTTATGGAATTTTGACATTTGTTTATGCATTTTCTATTGTGTATTGTGTGCATGCAATGTCGCTGTCATGTAAGGTGTGATAGCCCCAACCTAACTCGATTCTACCCCAGCCTCCTCGCGTTCAGCGGTCCTTCCTGCTGAACGCTTATTTAACAGCCTTAAATAGTTTGCACTCAATTTCCTACAGCCGTTCCTCTTTCCGTATGTTGACTCTTTTGTTTATTTCTGACCGAGTATATTAACAAAGTACTCTAACCATTTATGGGTTTATGAAATATGCCTACTTATAGGACCGCCCTTATTTCGGATCCTTTAGACCTCTCGCAATTGTCTCCTTTATTTTTTTTGCCTAAATTCATATCTCTTTCCAATGACCCAATAAAAATTCTCCATTGCTTGGCTAATCGTAATTCCTCCCTTAGAGCAGCCAGCTCAATAAATTGATAGAAAGAATATTTGTGCAGCATACCTACACTCAGCCCTTTCCTAGTTAAAATGTTCCCTCTACTGTACTCGTTGGCAGTTGCATACATCTTATTGATTTGCGTCGCTCCTCACTTATGCCTCGAAAATATAGAAACTTGCCCAGAATTCTGCGAGTGTAAAGGAATTTCTCCGCTGAAATATATAGACTTGGTTTCTCCTGACACTGAAGATCACACCAAAATAAAAAATACGGACTCACGGGAAAATGCAATAAAAATACCTGAAGCTTTTAAAGTTGGAATTGGCATCGAAAACGTAGCTGCCAACTGTCATGTTACTCCAAAGGATTTGCCTTTAAATTGCCCGAAGAGTTGGCGTTACCTTCGGATTTTACTTACGTACAAGGAAGCTAGTTTTCTAGCTACTGATCAAACGCACTACATGAGCAACATAAATACTGTTTCTGAAAAGATTACCCGAATCACAACTCCGTTTCTCATGCAATGCTCCCAATTGACAAGTTTCGTTGTTACTAGCCTCATCGAGCGTGATTTGGTCGTTGCGGTTCCTCAAATACTGCACTCACTAAGCAACCTAAAGCGTGTTTGGATTCGTCACCTTCAATTTGCCAAACACGTTCGCAAAAGAATTTCGCTTTTTATCGACACACCTCGTTTAGAGTTTGCAGCCATCTCGTTTTCTAATCTGCAAATGGCTGAAGCCACAAAAGTGCTGGATGGAGCTCCCGCCACCTTACGCCAATTGAGATTGAACAATCTTGAAATATCTGGACGCCTATCGCCGAAATTATGTTCTCATATCTGCCAGAAAGAAGAGTCAACTAATTCAACCAAAGGAATCATCTCACTCTACCTAAATGAAAATAGAATATCAGGCCTCTATCCGGAAAGCTTTGAAAACTGTAGTCAATTGAAGGTGTTACATTTAGCTGGGAATGAACTTCAGGGGAGTTTAGAGTCCGTAGTCGGCATGATGCTGCCTGGACAATCAATTGAATATAAAAGCCTCGGGAGCATGCACCCGCTTAATGAGGTTCTTCTTGCCAGTGCCTTTGTACACATTCCTCAGCTAACCATACTCGATCTGTCCGGAAATAAAATATCCTCGATCCAAACTCCTCTGTGGTCGGGTGCTAGAATCGAAAAGGAGACCTTAAAGCTGCGGGGAGGACTTGTTTATTTACATCGTCTTTCGCTATCAAATAATAAATTGCATTTTATTTCTCCGGGAGCATTTGCAGGATTACCTGGACTACGTGAGTTGGATCTTACACGAAATCCAACACTAGTCAGTCCCCCCGTTTATACGAGCAGGAATCTAATTGCTAATGTGAACGGATTTGATCCAAGCGTTTTATCAGGCATGCTACTTCTCACTCGTTTATCCTGGGACCGCCAACTAATTGCATGCTTAAGTAGGCCCGTCATGAATTCCTTCGAATACGGTAGCTTGTCTGCTTCTGTGTTTCGCGAACTGAAACGTCTGCCTCTATGTTCCAATCAAACAAAATTTCGTTTAAGAGAAAGTAGGCAAACCAACAGAATGGGTTCAATTGTCATTAATCAGGATCTAAAATATGCAACTAAAGGCCATTTTGGAGTCGAAAAGCCTTACAATACGACCAATAGAAGAAGTAATGTAAGTGACTATCTTGGTCAAAATATCGCTGTTGACCTATTTGCTAGAATGTTATCGTTTGGTTGCGTTTGTATTCTGCTTTTACTGCTTTTTATTTTGGCTCTTCTTGAGCGAAGATTTCGTCAGCATAAACAAATGAAAGAGTCTAATACTGGCAAAAAAATTGTCCTAAAGATTCACGTAAAGCAAAAGGATGACTTTTGTGACAGAGAACTGCGTTTATTTCGTCTTAAAGTAAATGCCAACAAAAACATTCCACTAAGCAAAAGACAAGGACAAATGTGTGGGAATATGATTCTCCCATATTTCAATTCATATTGTGTAAAAGAGGATGTCCAGCCAGAGGGAGTCAGCACCAAACTAAATTGTAGGGGACTTTTTTCATCAAACTCAGAGCTTTTGCAATCAACTAAGCAATGCTTGCATTCAAATACACCACTCACTGATGACGAATTAATTACACTGCAAATAAAGGATAGACAGAATAATCAGCCAATAACCACTATGAACGATAGAAGCATTAAGAGTAAAGTTCAACCAACTTACTAAGAAAAACTAATGTAGCTTATGTGGGAAATAAAATTGGAAAAAAAGTGACGTGTTGCTAATAAAACAAAAACTATAGTATGTGTTGCAGATGCGTATAATCCCTGTGTAAAAATATAACCATTTAATTGTCTTGTGTAGGTAAACAAGTAGGAAGAGAAAACATC